TGCATCTGCCACTTCTCCGACCACTGCATCAGTCTATTCAAATCTTCCTGGAGTGCTCTAATGTCCTCGTCAGAATGAATTCGACGGCCTATTTTGGTGTCATCGGCAAACTTGCTGATGTCGCTCTTTATGCCCTCATCTATGTCGTTTATGTAGATTGTGAACAGCAGGGGGCCCAACATTGACCCCTGTGGAACACATATGACATTGTATAGTAAAGTCAAGATGGAAGTGTTCACTGTTTTCCCCTGGTCAAGATGGCAGTGTTGTGTAAAGTGTCGTGCAGGTGACCAACCGGAAGGTTGTTGGTTCGTTTCCCGAACAGGGCAAGATGATATCCTTATTAATCTAGCAGTAAATGGACAGCTGGGTGTTATCTATCGTTGCTCGCGTCCTATGAGATATCCCACTCCGCAAAGGTACTGCTTCAGCGAGAACTTCAAATAAGTTTAGGTAGGAGACCTGGGTTTTGGGATCATGCCGCGGGTAAGTTAAACTCTAGAAATCAACTTCGGGTAGGTGAGACCGATGTATGAGGACGATGAGGTGTCCGGAATTGAATACGTGTAAGCTGGGAACTCTTGCCTTGAAAAAAAAATGTGCATGCAGAAACTCAAGTGGGAAGAGGTGAAGTGCGTCCTGGGGGTCAAGAGTGAAAGTGAGGCGCGAGCAGTTGAGTTAGCGAAAGTTAAGGTGATACATAAAATGTTTTTAAATAGGGTGTGAAAAGACTGCTGAGGATTCATAGGTCTGGGCACGAATTGTTGATAGGATCCATAAGTCTGGGCACGGATTGTTTATAGGATCTATAAGTCTGGGCACGGATTGTTATAGGATCTATAAGTTTGGGCACGGATTATTTATAGGATCCATAAGTCTGGGCATGGATTGTTTATAGGATCTATAAGTCTGGAAAAGGATTGTTTATAGGATCTATAAGTCTGGGCATGGATTATTTATAGGATCTATAAGTCTGGGCACGGATTGTTTATAGGATCTATAATTCTGGGCACGGATTATTTATAGGATCTATAAGTCTGGGCACGGATTATTTATAGGATCTATAAGTCTGGGCACGGATTGTTTATAGGATCTATAAGTCTGGGCACAGATTGTTTATAGGATCTATAAGTCTGGGCACGGATTGTTTATAGGATCTATAAGTCTGGGCAAGGATTGTTTATAGGATCTATAAGTCTGGGCACGGATTGTTGATATGATCGACAAGTCTGGGCACGGATTGTTGAACTGATAGTAGGATTTATAGGTTCTGTCTTGAATAAAACAGTGAACGCTGCCATCTTGACCATTGAAGACAGTGAACGCTGCCATCTTGACCAATGAAGACAGTGAACGCTGCCATCTTGACCAATGAAGACAGTGAACACTGCCATCTTGACCAATGAAGACAGTGAACGCTGCCATCTTGACCAATGAAGACAGTGAATGCTGCCATCTTGACCAGTGAAGACAGTGAACGCTGCCATCTTACGACGATGAACGCTACCATCTTGAGTAAGACGGTGAACGCAGCCATCTTGACCCAGGGGAAGATGGACAATCATCTAGGTTTTGTTGTGCGAGTTTATTTATTGAATGGTTTAGTGAGTGCGATAACGCGTATCTGGTGGTGGGTGTGGGAGCGTAGGTTGAGGGTGAGTGCGTAGGTTAAGGGTGTGTGGGGGCGTAGGTTGAGGGTGAGTGCGTAGGTTGAGGGTGTGGGGGCGTAGGTTGAAGGTGTGTGGGTGCGTAGGTTGAGGGTGTGTGGGGGCGTAGGTTGAGGGTGTGTGGGCTTATATTGTTATATTGTGTAGGTTGAAGAAGGGTGATGTGAGTTGGCGTAATAAGCGAGTACTGTTCGGCCAGACACGCCATAGGTCGATACGCACCCCACGCTTCCGCTGGTTGAGGGGAGGATAGGAGTGGGGTGAGGGGAGAGTGGAAATGGACGAGGGGGAAGCATGGGGAGGTATGGTCAGGGGGTATGAGGAAGTGGAAGTAAGGGGTAACTGGGTCATATTAGGGGGAGAGGAGGGGGGGAACTTGCTACGCACTTGGCGTACTAAAATAATATTAGTAGCAACTTGAGTAGCAGCGTTCCCCTCAGGGAGACGCAGTATATTTATGGCGTTACTTTGTTGCCTCAACAGTGATGGTTGTAGGGGAGGCTTGTGGAGTAGGGAAAGTTGTAAGGGTAGTGGGATGTGTATGAACGAGTGTAGCGGTGGGTTATATAGCGAAGGTTGAGCGTATTGGGGTGGGAGGGAGTTGGTTTAGTGGTGGGTTAATGAGTGGGATGGGAAGAGGTTTAGTGGGGGATTAATGGGTGGGATAGAAGGTTTAGTGGAGGGTTAATGGATGGGATAGGAGGAAGTTTAGTGGAGGATTAATGGGTGGGATAGGAGGGCTTTTAGTGGAGGGTTAATGGATGGGATGGGAGGGGATTTAGTGGAGGGTTAATGAGTGGGATGGGAGGGGGTTTAGTGGTAGGTTAATGGGTGAAATTGGAGGGGGAAGACTTTCTGGCAGTCTCTCTACCATTAACAGGTCATTGACGTTAGCACCTGGCACCTAAACACGTGTCTAGTGTTCACTCTCACCCCTGCTGGCTTGCTGCTATATAATAATGTGTTGTTCTAGATCCTATATATTGTTGATGCCATACGGCCTCTTTCCCTAGTGGTGCCACACACTTGGTCTCACCCATGGGTGGCAAGCTGCTGCTTTCCTTGGTGATGCCACACACGTGGTCTCACCCGTGGGTAGCACGCTGCTTCTTTCCTTTGTAGTGCCATACACGTGGTCTCCTTGGGTAGTGCTCCTCGGTAATACCACAAAGCGTGGGGGATCGCAGTGAGGGTGAGGGGAGGTTTCTCCCTTGAGGTGATCACGCGTGAGTTGGGGGGAGAGACTGTACCATAGCGTCAACAAGGTGACGAACAACGTGAATTTGCCATGACCCACTTTTTGTATTGTCCTGTGTTTGCGGGTGCGTCTCTGTGTACTCCTGCTTTGTGTTTGCTACGGTCGAGTCTCCGCTACTAACGAACGTCTGTAATGATTCTTAGCCACTTGTGCAATCGTACTTACTCTCGAAATCGTGAATGGAGTTTTCCCTGTCTTGTCATAGTTCATTCCATTGAAGTACATCCTGACACCCCTGTGACTTCTTGACTTACCTCAGTGTTCCCTTGTTCATGTTACCATCCACCGCATCAATTCATCAGAGTATCTTGTACATTGTAATCTTGTTTTTCTGGTACCTCTGTCCTCTTATGGTTATTGGGTTTAGTTTATCTTAGTCTGCTCATATCATAGTCTCAGTCCTGAGACTACTCTAGTTATAAACTGCTGGACCTTCTCGCGATTTTGAGCTTGTTTGATAAGGTGTGGACTCCATGCTGGTGATGCGTACTCTTAAAAGGATAGGATATGATATTCCTCTTGTATGAGAATCATGAAACATTCTTTATTAATAAAGTCTCACGCTTATGCAGCCAAAGTTTTCATTTGGTGTGAACCTGATTCTATATTCGTTTTAATGTTTACTCCCAGATCACTATCCCTGACTGCTCTCCTGGATTGTGGCCTGAATGTATCTGCAGTCAGAGAGGTTGGTCACTTCTTTGACAGTTCCTGAGGCACGCCTTTGTAGGCAGTGAACGGAGACCCCTGGGTACCGAGCCCCGATGTGGTGACCGTGGCTAATTTTTTGGAGCAAGATTTTGTACATACTTCAAGAATAAAAACTTTAATGACGAGTCAGAGCGGTGGCAGTGTTGGCTTTGCAATGATCGCTGGCGAGGATTTATATGACGCACGGTTAACGAAGTAGTCCCCTGTGTTCACTGCTGAGCTCCAAGCTCGTCCTGGTAGCTAACTTATTGGACCTCAACTGACTTATCTACTCAGATTCTCTGTCCCGAGTTTGCTCTGGCCCAGTATTCTTGTCACCCTGTGACCCCAAAGATCCAGGAGTGGTTAGCCTGTCTTCACGAGCAACGTAAGGTATCAGAGCCATATTGGTGTCCATAGAGCAAGCTATAACAATTTGGCTCCTTACGGGCCGCGTACCGAGTTATATACTGTGTTCGGCAGGAAGTGGGTGTTTGGCCCTCTCCTTCAATAGTCATCACTTACGATGACTGCCTATAGAGAATGTAGGCACATACGTCTTGCTCATAGTCACTTACTATGGGCGAGACGTATGTGCAGGTGCACTTGTCTATTATAATTACCTGTTTGTAGCTATGCTTGTGATCTCCCGTCTTCAGTAATTTGTTCCTCATATTTCTTTTTAAATTTCCAGTGATTGTCGCAGTGTGTAGCTGGCGTGCAGCTGACCGTGGAACTAGGCTTAGGCCTTCCCGCTTTCGTCGTGGATTTTATAATTACTGGAACATAAGAACATAAAGAAGGAACACTGCAACAGGCCTACTGGCCTATGCGAGGCAGGTCCAATTCTCCCACCGGCTTAAGCCAATGTCTTGACCTAGTGAGGGGGAGTCTTGTAGGGATTTCTGAACATAGAACATTTTTAGGTATTAAAAGTTTCATGACATTTTTAACTGCTGGTGGCTGTTTTAATTTGGTGTGATAGTATTTATTTGTATGATGGGTTTTATTCCTGCTGGTATTGTTTTCGAATTTTGCTTTGGTTTTCTTATTTGTTGTAATTTTTTTTTTGGCACATCTCAGTACTCGTGCAGATATGCAGTCAGGCCTCATAGCTTCGTGTATTTTTTGTGTACTAAATTGTGGTTGCGGGGCTCTATAGATTCTCAGCTCCTGACCATTGTTGTATGCCTCCCATAATTTGTTCGGGGTGTACTTGCCAGTTTTGTGTGTGTGTGTGTGTGTGTGTGTGGTGTGTGTGTGTGTGTGTGTGTGTAGCGAGAAGGGATAGGGAAAAGGAAAACGGGGGTGAGATTAGACTAGAGCGCCGCCAGTGTGCGCCTGTCGTGTAACGAGAGCCATCCAGGCAGCGAGCGAGCCAGCAGTGCCACATTGACACAAACCTGCACGGCAACTAGTAATCCCTTCCAGTGGTGACACAACCAACAACTAATAGACGTTACCTCTTGCTTATAATAATTTGTAATTATTTCACAGTGGAATGTAAAGCCGAGTTAAAGAAAATATTAGAGGAGGATTGAGGAGAGTGCAAGTTTAGTTTTGTATCGTAGTTGAAAGTTTGTGTATGAGGTCAGTGCCACCTTAGTGAATGGAAGCAGTCACTGGTAAAGCTGCTTGTGACGAAGGTGCCGTGCAGGCAGTAGCGTTAATTGCCTGGGTCTGCCTGAGAATGTGACCATGTAAGGTACCCACTGGTCCACGCTGCTCTGGTAGCAGAGTGAGGGGTGCCAGCCTCTAGAGGAGTGCCAGCTGCCTAAGAGTAAGGGTGAGACTCAAGTGGCAGCAGTTCTACCCCAGCTGAACGTGTGAGGACCCTGGAAATAGTGTGTGGTTTGGACCAGTCTTTCGGAAGGTACCGTGATGGGTGACTATGGGTTGGGTTAGCCGTGGGTGTGATTGAGGGGGGCGTATGGGCGGCGGCGGGGCCACCGTGTGATGCTGTCCAGTGGTGGTGTCTTGTGGCTGCTCCTTCCATCTTCTCCTCCTGTCCTTCCTCCGCCGCCGCCGCCATCATCTCAAGACCACGCCCACCACACCGCGTGCCGCCCCTGACGCCCACACGCCGCCCGTGGGCGAAGCAAAAATGTAACCACCGGAGCACGGAGGACATGGTGGTGGTGGGGGAGGCGCGCAGGGTGAGGTCGTGTTGTAAACACAAGCTTCTGCCAGCAAGACCCAGAGCATGGAGGCTTCTACACTCACAGTTCGACAGGATAGGTAACTAACCTCTTGCTTACTTGCTCCTTGCTTCCTTCCTGTAATTGTCTTCACGCTTATCTGCTTCGTACCCTAATTTTTTCTTTTGACTGCTTCCTGCACTTGTTTCCTCCTGTTTTCTTTCTGCTTATATTTTTTTTATGTTTTTTTTATATCTGCTAATTTTTATTCGTGTTTCTCCTTTGATTATTCTTTCCGCTATCTTGTTTATGCACTTGCTTTTGCTGTTGTCTGCTTTGGCATGTCTTTCATTACTATTTTAGTACTATTATGCTCATTGCTCAGTATTAGTAGTAATAGTTGTTACAGGAGTAATAATAATAAACGCCACGAAAACAAATGTTGCAGTATTCAAGTAGCTGTTGATATCTTCAGAAATTATTATACAATTTCACAGAGTCCTGACCATGTTTCTGTACAGTGCTACGAATCTTTATTATAAATTGCTTCGTTTGTCCATAAATGCTGTGTTCTATTCCAAGTGTGTAGAGGTATTGTTTCCACACCGGTCCAGACATTGTATTGATGGTGACTAAGTATTTCCTACTTACTGAAACACGTCTAAGTATCGCCGTGTGTGCAGCTAGTTTGTTGTGCATCCACAGCTCTTGCGTGAGCGCTAGTGCAGAATGTATTACGAGGGTCATAATGTGTGTGTGTGTGTGTGTGTGTGTGTGTGTTGTGTGTGTGTGTGTGTGTGTGTGTGTGTGTGTCAGCCCCTATTGAGTAGTTATATCTTTACATATTGCAAGAATTTCATGGTTAAGCTTCTTAATGCTAAAGATTAATTTAACCCAGGATTATAGATATAATTAACAAGGAAGAGGTTTAAAATTCCCAGTAGGTTTTGTTTACGTATATCTCTAATGGTATAATTTTTTGGATACACTTAAAATAGTGTTCTGGTATTTAAGGCTATCTTTCTCCATACATTTCTCGTTCTTTTCAAATTCTTGATGTCGCTATGCAGTTATACTGACAAAAATACTTATAGCCTTGACTAGCCTGAAGTCGATAATTATAGAAACTTTCCCCCTGTAGAATTCTCAAAGTAAATTTCGAGTCGGTAATTCCCATAGTGCTATTGCACTTCTAAAATCCCATGTTGTGTACCGATTGGTCTAATTGTATTAGTGGTGGTATCAGTAGTTATAGTAGTTGTAAAATTTCTATTTTCACCGTTTTAAATTTCCAGACACGCGTATCTCTATATCTTAGAGATCCCTTACTCCATTTTTTCTAACAGGCAGTGTGGTTAAAGGATGGGGAGAGACTTCTGCTATATTATCACTATTTCAATTGTTGGGACAAAAAGAGAATCAGAATGTAGTTAGTCCATAGCAGATAAACTCGAAATGGACCGTAGGATTTTCAGCTTTGTTTTTTCCCAAACACTCCTATATACACTTGAAGGAAGAGGGAGATGTACCAGGGTAACCACGTAGAGGGAAGCATCTGTGACAATGAGATCACGTGACAGGGCAAGGAGGAGGAGAGGGTAGGTTACTTAGGGTCAGTCACGAGGGACCTCTGATGCAGCAGACATTTGAGGTCATCGATTCCCTGGGTCCCAACAGAGTCCAGGACGAACCTCCCTCATACCTTGACCTACTTGTGTTGTCTTCTCCCTCCTGCTGGTGTGGTGTCCCTCCTTTCCTCCCTCTTGCTGCATTAGTAGTCCACCTTCCCTCATTCTGGTGTGGTATCCCTCTCCTACCTACTGCATTAGTAGCTCTCCTTCCCTCATGTTGGTGTGGTGTCCCTCCTTTCCTCCCTCCTTCACTCACTCTGGTGTGATGTTCCCTTCTCTTGCTGATAGTACCCGTCCCTCCTCCTGGCTGATGTACTATCCTTCCCTCTTGCTGAGGTACCATCCATATAACCGGATTCTAGACTCCAGGCCTGAATCCCTGTTGATCGCCCAATTATCTGTTATCAGCGAGGCGCAGCCCTACGGAGCCCACACACCTGGACTATCCAACACATCATGTAGGCACTCACTGAGTATCCTTTGCCAGACATTGTTTGTAACTACTGTAGATGAAGGTTAAAGTGTGGCGGACCTCGGTGGTTGCCAGTGCCTTAATTGTTCCTGTGGCACCCATAATTTTAATTGGCATTATTCTTCGCCTATGAGAAGGAGCTGATGAGTATGGACCACTAGTCCTGCTGCAATGTTCCTCCATTCTTACGCTCTTGTATCTCATATTTTAGTGTACAGACTATGTGCATTATTATCAGATATTTATTTCTTCTCAGTTCTAAGGATTACATTACACACGTTTTCAGGTGTTCCCGGTAGATTTTTATACCCATTTCGTCTCCCCCCGAGGTAGGGTGACTACAAGGAAGCGCATTTAACATCATTCATTCAATAGCTATATTGCCATAATTCAGATGTCACCCTCCCCCCCAACTGCAATTTCTTTACCCTCCTGCAGAGTGCAGTAGTAATCTAGATGTTTTATTGATTCTCTGTCACACTGGTATTAAACTGTTGAGGAAACGCTGACGCGGGTGTTGAAGATATAATAGCCTGCTTCAAGAGTGGCCAGTAAGATTATATATATATATATATATATATATATATATATATATATATATATATATATATATATATATATATATATATATATATATATATATATATATATATGAGATTTTCGCCTTATAATCGGTGATACACACGTAACAACATGTACCGTATATGCCACCTTTATATCAACAATGTATCTCTTAAATCTTCTGTGCCATATTATGTAATAAAATATTCCTATTGGTAAAAAAAAAATAGTTTAAAAGATGGGGTGGTAGGGGAAGTGGAATATTCAAATGGCTTCAGGAAGAAATCCAAATATTCTTCCTTGAAGCCTTTTTATCCATCTATTATATATATATATATAATATATATATATATATTATATATATATATATATATATATATATATATATATATAAATTTACTTAAGCTTATTTTTCACCTGTCTTTCAGTTAACCTTCGGGTAACCTCTTTCCTCTCTCTTGGTCTAGTGCCCTCTCCTTTCATCAGGTAGGTACAGTGGGTGATGACCCGTAGCTCCCTGCCCTGGAGGAGCAAGTAACTTAGCTCGGTCATCACACAGGGATGTCACAGGTACAGTTGTCTCCCTGGAGGTTATTCCGGGGATCAACGCCCCCGCGGCCCGGTCCACGACCAGGCCTCCCGGTGGATCAGGGCCTGATCAACTAGGCTGTTACTGCTGGCTACACGCAGTCCAACGTACGAACCACGGCCCGGCTGATCCGGCACAGACTTTAGGTATCTGTCCAGCTCTCTCTTGAAGGCAGCCAGGGGTTTATTAGTAATTCCCCTTATGCTTGGAGGCTGTTGAACAGTCTTGGGCCCCGGACACTTATGGTGTTTTCTCTTAGTGTGCACCAATGGCGCCCCTACTTTTAATTGGGGGATATTTTGCATCGCCTGTCCAGTCTCTTACTTTCGTAGGGAGTGATTTATGTGTGCAGATTCGGGACCATTCCTTCCAGGATTTTCCAAGTGTAGATTATGATATATATCTCTCTCCTGCGTTCCAACGAGTATGTCAAGTGCTTCCAAGCGTTCCCAGTAGTTAAGGTGCTTGACAGAACTTATACGTGCAGTAAAGGTTCTCTGCACACTCTCTAGATCTGCAATTTCACCTGCTTTGAACGGTGATGTTAATGTACAGCAGTATTCCAGCCTAGAGAGAAGTGATTTGAAAAGGATCATCATTGGCTTGGCATCTCTCGATTTGAACGTTCTCATTATCCATCCTATCATTTTCTTTGCACTTGTGATCGTAGCACTGTTGTAATCCTTGAAAGTGAGATCCTCAGACATTACCACTCCCAGGTCCCTTACATTATTTTTCCGCTCTATTGTATGGCCAGAGTTTGTAGTATACTCTGTTCTAGTTATTATCCCCTCCAGTTTTCCATAACGGAGTAGTTGGAATTTGTCATCATTGAACATCATATTGTTTTCCGTTGCCCACTGGAAAACTTTGTTTATATCTTCTTGGAAGTTAACCATGTCCTCAATAGATGACAGCCTCATGCAGATCCTAGTATCGTCTGCAAAGGATGATACGGTGCTGTGGGTTACATCTCTGTCTGTCTGATATGAGGATGAGGAACAGGATGGGGGCGAGTACTGTGCCTTGTAGAACAGAGCTCTTCACTATGACAGCCTCCGATTTAACTCTGTTGACCACTACTAATGTTCGATTGGTTAGGAAGTTGAATATCCATCTCCCCACTTTGCCAGTTATTCCTGTAGCACGTATTTTGTGCGCTATTACGCCATGATTACACTTGTCAAACGCTTTTGCAAAGTCTGTGTATATTAATTACATGTGTATATTTATTACATCTGCATTCTGATTTCCTTCCAGTGCATCCAAGACCATATCATAGTGATCCAGTAGTTGTGAGAGGCAGGAGCGACCTGCCCTGAACCCATGTTGCCCTGGATTGTGCAGTTTTTGGGAATCCAGGTGATTTGCAATCCTGCTACTTAGCACTCTTTCAAAGATTTTTATGATGTGGGAAGTTAGAGCTATCGGTCTATAGTTCTTAGCTAATGCTTTGCTGCCACCTTTATGGAGTGGGGCTATATCCGTTGTTTTAAGTGACTGGAATTTCACCCATGTCCAAGCTCCTCCTCCATAGTGTACTTACGGCACGAGAGGGGTTTCTTGCAGTTCTTAATGAACACAGAGTTCCACGAGTCTGGGCCTGGGGCTGAGTGCATGGGCACGTTGTCAATGGCTTTTTCAAAGTCTATCGGAGTTAGGGTGATGTCGGAAATCTGGCATACATTTAAGGAGTTTTGAGGCTCATTCATGAAGAAATCATTTGGGTCGTCGATCCTCAAACTGATTAGTGGCTCACTAAACAGTCGTACTGGGATTTCAGTATTTCACTCATTTCCTTGTTGTCATCTGTGTAAGTCCCATCCTGTCTGAATAAGGGCCCGGTA